ACGATGTTCAATAAAAAATTTATAATATTCAAGTGAAGTCTTAAAGTCTCTTGTACATTAAGACTACTGATAAAATAATATTTTAATCAATGAGTTTCATTTCCTTGTAGCCAAATTGTGAATGTGATTTGAGGAGTACAACAAATCGATATATAGCTGACTTGTTTTTTTCATTGTAGTTTTTTTTTCTTTTTTTTTTAAAAATGAATTTAAAGATATTCTAAAATATAGCAAAAATTAATTTTTTTATTACAATTAGAAATTTTAATAAATATAAACTCTCAATCTATGGTGTTAATCAACGTTTAAATCTAAAAAATTAGGAATTTTTACCTCTTTTAATCAACGTTTAAGTCTAAAAAACAATAGAGTTATTATAAGTTTTTTTTTTCTACATCTTTTAAAACATTAAATATGAGCATGTTAGGGCTAGCTTGTAAAATAATTAATATATTATCTCACTAAAACATTTATACTAATAAAAATTTAATTTTAGCATATAAATTTATCCCTTGATATAAGAGAAAGTAACAGTTTTACTTATTGTTGTTCACCATATAATATTTAATTATTATTTTATTATATAATAAAAAAGAAATATTGTTAAATAGTGTAGTAGAATTGTTACAAAATTATATGAATTTTTTTTTACAATATGGATTTAATAGTTTTTATGATTTGATAATATAAACAAATCTATACTTAACTTTGACAAATAAAACAAATAAATACTTTAGTAAGTATTTAATGTATATACTAAATAGGAATATATTTGGTATAATCAAATACCAAATATAATCAAATAAGTCAAAGTGTACATTTTTATTTGGTATTTAATTTTTTTATTATTAAAATCTTTTTATTATACTTACCTTTTTAAAATAAAACAAATAAATAAATCAATTAAATAAATAAAATATTATAATACCAAAATAGTAATGACATTTAATGCAATTGACTTTTCTGGATAATAAATGTAGTAAATAAAATATCTTTTTATATAATATAATACGGAAATAGTAATACAATAAATGTTGTTGACCTTTTTGGCTACTTAATTTAGTAAATAGTACCCCTTTTAATATAAGTATAGATTGTATTCTCATTTGGTATATATATAAACTAAGACAAATTGTTATAGTATCTATATATTGTTAAATAACTATTTATAATTTAATTTGAGAACATAAAATTATTAACAAATTTAAAAATAAAATAATTTTTAAAGTACTTTATACTTTTTTGAACCAAATAATGAGATTTAATGATTTATTTTTTGTATAAGAAAATATAGTGCAATGGAACATAAAAAGTTTAAGAATTAAATAACTACATTATGATGAGAACATAAAATGTTAGAGCATGTTTGTTTATGGAAATTTTTAGTTTGTTTGGATTTTTGGTTTTAATTTGGTTAATTTTTTTAAAAGGTTGTATGGTTAGTTGTTAGTGGGTATATTAAATAATATTTAAAATAAAATAATTAAAATTAATTTGATGTAAAAGTAGGAGAGAGATGGTTGAATGGATGGTTAGTTAAAATAATGTGAATGAATGAGTAGTGAATTAAGGTTGATGTGGTGTGTATGAATGATTAATTGAATAATTATATTAATAATATTGATGATAGTAGAGTTGAGTTAAAAAAAATGGTTGAGTTAAAATGTGAAATTTTTTTGAAAAATTTCCATAAACAAACATGCCCTTAGGCTCTGCATAAAAGATGTAATCATACAATTATAAAGGTTAAAAGTAGATTTTTTATTTTAAATTTTACTAATACTATAAATATATATTATTAATATTTTATCAGTTCTAATTATGTAAAAAATAATAATTTTAGTGGTATTGTTTTTAATTTTTTTTGAACTTTTTTTTAAGTTGTAGTTTAAATATTTTGTATTCGCATTCTATATCAACTTGAGACAACTGTTCTTATACACTGAATTTTGTATATATGGATGATAAAACAGTAGTACTAGTTTGTAATATTCATAAGAAATCGAAATATATAAAACACACGTTATAAAATAAGTTTCTTGATTAAATAATATATATTATGGATGATAAAACAGTAGTACTAGTTTGTAATATTCATAAGAAATCGAAATATATAAAACACACGTTATAAAATAAGTTTCTTGATTAAATAATATATATTATGGATGATAAAACAGTAGTACTAGTTTGTAATATTCATAAGAAATCGAAATATATAAAACACACGTTATAAAATAAGTTTCTTGATTAAATAATATATATTATGGATGATAAAACAGTAGTACTAGTTTGTAATATTCATAAGAAATCGAAATATATAAAACACACGTTATAAAATAAGTTTCTTGATTAAATAATATATATTATGGATGATAAAACAGTAGTACTAGTTTGTAATATTCATAAGAAATCGAAATATATAAAACACACGTTATAAAATAAGTTTCTTGATTAAATAATATATATTATGGATGATAAAACAGTAGTACTAGTTTGTAATATTCATAAGAAATCGAAATATATAAAACACACGTTATAAAAATAGTTTCTTGATTAAATAATATATATTATGGATGATAAAACAGTAGTACTAGTTTGTAATATTCATAAGAAATCGAAATATATAAAACACACGTTATAAAAATAGTTTCTTGATTAAATAATATATATTATGGATGATAAAACAGTAGTACTAGTTTGTAATATTCATAAGAAATCGAAATATATAAAACACACGTTATAAAAATAGTTTCTTGATTAAATAATATATATTATGGATGATAAAACAGTAGTACTAGTTTGTAATATTCATAAGAAATCGAAATATATAAAACACACGTTATAAAAATAGTTTCTTGATTAAATAATATATATTATGGATGATAAAACAGTAGTACTAGTTTGTAATATTCATAAGAAATCGAAATATATAAAACACACGTTATAAAAATAGTTTCTTGATTAAATAATATATATTATGGATGATAAAACAGTAGTACTAGTTTGTAATATTCATAAGAAATCGAAATATATAAAACACACGTTATAAAAATAGTTTCTTGATTAAATAATATATATTATGGATGATAAAACAGTAGTACTAGTTTGTAATATTCATAAGAAATCGAAATATATAAAACACACGTTATAAAAATAGTTTCTTGATTAAATAATATATATTATGGATGATAAAACAGTAGTACTAGTTTGTAATATTCATAAGAAATCGAAATATATAAAACACACGTTATAAAAATAGTTTCTTGATTAAATAATATATATTATGGATGATAAAACAGTAGTACTAGTTTGTAATATTCATAAGAAATCGAAATATATAAAACACACGTTATAAAAATAGTTTCTTGATTAAATAATATATATTATGGATGATAAAACAGTAGTACTAGTTTGTAATATTCATAAGAAATCGAAATATATAAAACACACGTTATAAAAATAGTTTCTTGATTAAATAATATATATTATGGATGATAAAACAGTAGTACTAGTTTGTAATATTCATAAGAAATCGAAATATATAAAACACACGTTATAAAAATAGTTTCTTGATTAAATAATATATATTATGGATGATAAAACAGTAGTACTAGTTTGTAATATTCATAAGAAATCGAAATATATAAAACACACGTTATAAAAATAGTTTCTTGATTAAATAATATATATTATGGATGATAAAACAGTAGTACTAGTTTGTAATATTCATAAGAAATCGAAATATATAAAACACACGTTATAAAAATAGTTTCTTGATTAAATAATATATATTATGGATGATAAAACAGTAGTACTAGTTTGTAATATTCATAAGAAATCGAAATATATAAAACACACGTTATAAAAATAGTTTCTTGATTAAATAATATATATTATGGATGATAAAACAGTAGTACTAGTTTGTAATATTCATAAGAAATCGAAATATATAAAACACACGTTATAAAAATAGTTTCTTGATTAAATAATATATATTATGGATGATAAAACAGTAGTACTAGTTTGTAATATTCATAAGAAATCGAAATATATAAAACACACGTTATAAAAATAGTTTCTTGATTAAATAATATATATTATGGATGATAAAACAGTAGTACTAGTTTGTAATATTCATAAGAAATCGAAATATATAAAACACACGTTATAAAAATAGTTTCTTGATTAAATAATATATATTATGGATGATAAAACAGTATTTTTTATAAACCAATATAATTATAATAAAATAAAATAATTATTTTGTAAATATATTTATTATTTAATTAAAAATATTATGAAAATATTTACATTTGAAAATGTTGAGTGAAAGACAAAAAAATGTTATGAAAATTGATACTAATAAGATTGAATACGTAACACAAAAATGATAAAGTAAGGAAATTATTAGATAAACAATCAAACATATTTCAAATACTAGTTCATGATATTATTAAATTGTTACATTTGTCATAAAGTTTAAATAATTAGTAGAAAAATATATCTGATAATGAAAATCGATCATATACTTATAAATATGAATCGAGTACATTTTGAGAAAATGAAAACTAATGACGCTAAAAGTGATTTTTGTAAGCACTATCATTTACTTTATAATTTTATTAAAATAATTTATAAGCTTTTATTATTTAAATAGATTTTTGTAAGCAATATCATTTACTTTATAATTTATTAGTATATAATAGCAATAGGGATTTAATTTAAGTAGAAAATAAATTCCCAACTAAAAATTTGAATTTTACTACAATTGGTAACATTTTTCAATAAATTTGCTTATATACATCAATAAATAATATTAATATACTTTAAATATTTATCAGTATATAAAAAAGAATATTACTTCTATAAGTTTTATAAATAAAAATGACATTATAGGACAATTAATTTTTAAATAAAATAATATTTGAGTATTATGATGAACCAAAATATGTAAAATTATTATTTTTTATGTATTAAAGACAAAATAAAACCTAAATTGGGTCTGACTGTGTGCGTGCACAACCAATAGCCAAATAGTGCTAATAAATATAATATTTTAATTACATTAACAATCCCATCTATATCCCGTGCGATATCTACCTAAGCTCCCTTTGTGGGCGCGTTTTTCAGAACAAAGTAAAACCCAATGAAGCTCAATTTCCCTGACTAGCCAACATTGAAGTTATGATACTCAAATGGAAACTTAAACAAACTACAACAAAAACAATAATGAATAATGTTAATGCCAAATAGCATTAATAACACTAGTATCCGTCAAAATCTCATCATCTTACAAACACTAGGAAAGTCGGCAATCGAGTAAAACAACAATAATAGGCTCTTGACATGTTCTTCCTTCTGCTGGAAAAAGCCCAAGGAAATAGAAAAAATATGCTATATCACCAGTTTCTCAAAATCGCTAAACCAAAGTTCGCATTATATCACCATTTGAAGCCAGAATAGAGATTATTATCCCAAGAACAATCATTAGTAATTCCTTCCCCAGTAAGTCCACTTTTTCGCATGCGTTCCTGAGGACAAAAAAAATATTAACATGACCAATTCACAGGACCAATTCACATTATTGTGAGGACAAAAAACAAAATAATGAAAAAAATAAGATTAAAAAATTAGTATATAGAGTGTGGATATTCAGATCAATAGCTGGAGGAATGTTCATATCAGCAAATACCAGAGGCTGATGCTCCACTCTCTTGAAAAGTTTTGGAATGCAGATGCTCCTCATGACTGTGGAAAAACCTCAAGATAGTCGAATTCCCCTGATACAACAATTCATGGATATGCTTATTGTTCTCATCTCCGAAGATATATCAGGCATTCTTTAACGAGCTCAACGAAAGTCAATGAAGAGCTGTTGAGAAATGAATTTGTTGTGGATATTCTTCTCTAATTCTAATTTACTTTGGAACATCGAAAGAAAATCAAAAGAATGGTTAAGACTTCTACCTACTGTACCGTATGGTACTCTATAGGATACCACAGAACTTCCCTTTATTATAAAGAAAAAAGAATGCTTTAGTCTTCAATTAGACTTTGCATCTCACACTGCAAAATATATTTAAATTGTGCTAACTAAAATAATTAAGTCCTAACCTTTTCCCTTTCAGGCTTGCCTTTTTGTTTTCCTAATTTCATGCTAGGTCCAAAAGCATCCATCTTTGGCGGCAATAGTTTTAATCCCAAGCCAACTTCAGTACCTGATGTAAATGCTAACAATCAAAAGGGGGAAAAGAAGAGAACAAGAAGAAGAAGCCATGGCGAAAAATGGCATAAGAATTACCTGTGTATGAAGACGAAGTTTCATCTATGAGTCCTCCCTGAAAAGTTTGGTTAGTGTTGTTAGCAACTTCTGCGGGTGTCCTACAGTGGCAATCACATAATCACATATAAGCAAGTAATTTACTATAAATGATGTTACAATAACATAACATTAGCCTGTTGGGCAGTAAACTTCTTCCAATTTAAACATATATGCAACATTTTCATCCCTAATGAAATATGAACTCTTGCATGTTGACCTCACTTAATTTAGGAGAGGACCTAAAGGATCTCTACATAAAATTACATTAATGGCTCAACCCAGTTAACAAAAGTAAATAAAAACCGACAATCATTAATAAAAGTTGCCGTGTGTATTTGTTTTACAGATATGAGATATCCCCATCCTCTCAACAGGAGTAATTAGTGACAACCAAGCAATCTTCAGAGATACTATTTGTAGTTCACTCATCTATATCAAAGTGTAACCATTAAACTAGTGAAAGATGATCAACAAACTTTCACATTCTGAATATGAGAGAATTCATTTCTGTTCCACCTTCAATGTCATTATATACAAACAGTTTAATATATGAAATCGAACCTTGCCTCACAAACTTCCATTTCATGTCCATTTGGATACAAACTCGGCATGCCATAGTAGCTGGAGTTTTATCGGTATGTGTTGTTTTCACTATATTGGGTGTACTTTGGTGGAAATTTTTCTTCAGAAACAGAAAAAAACTTGGGAAAGGTATGTTAATGATTCTCTGATAAATGAAAGAAAAAAAAAAAGGCTCAAATGTAGTGAATGCTGATTGGATTACTTTACTTCTTGCTTGACAGAATTTGAAGGACTCGAATTGCAAACAGTTGCTTTTACTCTGAAACAAATTTGAGCTGCCACGAACAATTTTGACGAGACAAACAAGATTGGCGAAGGTGGTTTTGGTCCTGTGTACAAGGTAAGTTTTACTAAAAAAATTGCTTATTTCTTGTTCCCTTTAATTTTTTTTTTCTTTACAATATTCTTACATGTAAACTGGTTCAGGGTCTTCTGCCAGATGACACTATAATAGCCGTAAAACAGCTCTCGTCAAGATCAAGAGATGAACAAATTCTAATGTGATCGTATCTGTTTTTTCTGCCAAAAGGGTCATTACATCAGCAACCACCTGCCATATGTGGAACAATAATATGAGTACCTAATTAATAACATTTGAAATGTAAAATTGAGAAAGCAGATTTTTGCAGTTTGCACTACTATCAACAAAATGGGAAACACATCCTTTTGTCCATGATTTGGGAACAATAGTATATTAGTCACGCTATGATCACCCATCATATACCATTAGTTATTTTAGTTTTGCTCCATTTGCCAAACATATTAGCATAAAGCAGAGTGGAAAACAAATCCTATTATTGTAATAAAAAATAGCTTAAAATCCATCTCTACTCACCTGACCCTATGTTGATCCTAACTATTTCACTTTTGCAGCTGATGAACATAAGCACATTCATTTGTACATACTTTATTGACTTAAAATCAATCTCTACTCACCTGATCTTCATATCAAAAAGTAAAAAGATCTACTTTTCAATAGGCAGACTACACAGACACAAATTTGTTAGCAGTAATTGCTTAACAAAGACAAGCTCAACAGCAAAATTACACATAAAGCTCCAATTTTTCGGCCACCCATAGACAATAAAATATGAACCGGGCTAGAAGACGTTACCAGGTATATCTGCAACCCGGGGCTCCGTATAATGCCCGTTGTAGACTACCACGGCGTCGTACACCTCATCGTATCCACGTTTCTCATTCCCAATTTTCGATCTTACCGACCAATTCCGACCCTCCGCAAACCCCACATGGGACATCTCACTCCTAAACCTAACCACTTCACCGAGCCTAAACTCGTCAGAAAAATCTCTCAAATACTCCAAAACCTAACGTGACCCGGAAACCTCCTCAGATCTCTCCCGGGCTTCCCGCTTGCCACGAACGGGTAGGCCCGGAAACCCATGACCTCCCGGGGCAAGTTCGTCCGTAGCGAGGCGTAGAGGCTGGAGTTGATGACTTTTCAGGTCCGATCGAGTCCCATCGGGTCGGCCTCTGTTTCTATCGAGATGCTTCAATCGGGCGATCGTCGGAGGTGGAGCAGACGTAGGTGGATCCGAGGGCTGAATCGGCGAGAGGATCCTTCCGCTTTCGTAGGAGTAAGAGAGGAATAATCCGACGCAGGCGTCGGAGGCCGGCGACGGNNCNNCNNNTNTNNNA